ATGAGGCTGATGCAAACACCAGCCCAGTTAGCAGCATGTGGGGTAGAGTTGCGGGGAGGATGAAAAGTCAGTGGGAAGGTGAGGGCTGGACAGAGTCTGAATGTTTGTAACCACTGTTTCAGTTTACTGTGCCAGTGTCCAGAGGGTATTGAGGTAATAGAAGCAAGAGTCAACTGGTCTGGCAAAAACCACCTTGTGCTGGGCCAAGAGAAAGGAAGAAAGTTAAGGGGGTGAAGAAGGCTGTGCATCCAGGCACGAGGCTGAACACCCCTCTGTGCCCCACAGCTCTCAGCAGCCTGCCTGCTCCAGAGGAAGGCCTGGGTCAAGGCTGGCACTGATGCTCATCAGAAAGCCTATGGCCTTCTGGCCACACATGTCCTTTTCACTTCCCAGCACACAACACTGTGTAAATAGGCAATGGCCTGAAGGTTTAATGGGGCCAGCACACTAGGTAAGTTAGGGGAGGGAAAATTCACCTCACTCTTACCGCCGTCAGGATTACTTGGCCACCGAATTCCTCTCTTAGATGACATGTAGAAACGGTCATGTCTTGATTTCATTAGCAGCGATCAGTGCAAAGAATTCATCAGAGAAAAGGTAACACAACTACATTCTCAAACGAATTACAGAAGAAAAGGAAAAAAAATCTTGTTTTCCTTAAATCAGAACCAACCCCTCCTTTGGTTGACTGTAATCTGAGAAAGAGACTGTCTGACAGGTAAAAAGAAGCTAAAGCTTAGGCCAGTGCAGGCTGAGAAAAGCTCTCTCTACTCGTTGAGAAGCCATCATTTATAAGATGTGTAAATTGTGCAAATTGGCCCCTCTCTTGTCCAGATGTTGAATGGCTTCTAACAGTGAAATGGTGATTTCCTTACAAGGCAAACTATTCAGAGTCACCCAGTGCTCAATCACACACCCAGTCACCCATCTCTCACCCTCCCCTGGGCCAGGCTCACACAGAAGGTGAAAAAAGCCCCAAGGTAGGAGCGTGGTCATATGTTGTCCACTGGATTCATTCATACTGATATGTGGATTTCTACACTGTCACGAATGGACTTCTCCCTCTCATCTCTGTTTTAGCAATTTGCACCTAATGGCCCTAAAGAATCAGAAACATGTCTTTCATATATCACAGATGCACCAACACCTAGACCCTGGTAAACCCAAGTGGTATTGGCTAGCTATATCCAGGTCTCGTATAGCTATAGGCCCTGTGGTTAATACTTTAGCCCATATTATTTGTTCAGAGCTTAAAAAAATAATAAAAAATCCTTGGTTGCTTTTTTGTTTTTAATTTTAAAAAAACTGGACATAATCCCCAAACAGTGTCAGAAGCCCGACATTTTGAGTGAGTTCCTAACTGGTTTAAGCGTCACAGCAGGCAACAGTAAAATGTTAAGCGCCTTTAAAAAGTCAAAAGAAACGCATAAAGCAGTGCATGCATTTTGTTGCCACAAAATTAAGACTGGATTTGGAGCGGGATTACTTCATTTAAGTCACATTACTATTATTAAAGAATAGTGAGCTATAATGCAATATCTAGAACAAGGATATAACCACCTACACACTAGCATCACTTTATCTAGAAACAAACATATCAGTGTTACTACATGAACATATTTATAAAATACTGTACACTGCTTCCATGTTGGGTTAACAGATGTAAACAAACAGCTAATTCAACTGGAGCTTAAAATACTATTTTCAGTTCATTTGTCATATAGTCTTTTGTATAACATGCCAGTTTGTCTTTCACAGAATCACAACTTGCCTACCACAGCTCACAGGGCTGCTTAGAAGATGAACATCAGCTTATGCAAATATTTTACAGTGGTCTATGAAAAACATAAAGCAGATCAGGAACAAAAGTGCCCATTTCACGAGGATGCTAAATAACATGGAATTGGGAACATCATTAATCCTTGCAACATGTGCTTCTTTATTGAATGTTACAGATTTGTAAATGATTATAAAGCTGTCCTGTAACGTTCATTAATACAACCACATGCTACAACTATGCTGAGTTAAACACGGGTTACATATATGTTTACATGTGTTTTATAATACAGCATTGCCCCACACACACTGAATGGTATAGCCTATAGATATAGCATGATCGATGACTGGATAATATTTATTATCATTACAGAAGTTAAACAGCCTAAACATTCAGAAAGATTAGACTGTACAGCCTCAGAAAGTAGAATAAATGCGCTATCCAGTTATCTACCATAATATTATCTATAGAAACCATCTTTTAGAATACATTTGAAACATTCAGAAGAAACACATTTTGTGTTCTTGCAAGTACATTTTTCTCATTCGATTATTCTGATATATATTTTTTAAAGGGGGAACTGTCAAAGTGCTATATAATATCCTAGACCTGGAAGCTTAGACTTAAAAAAAAATCCAGTTCTGTAAAGTGCTGCATTCTGACCCCTAATACACCCTCTGGCTGGAGAAATACTCAAACTAGTCACGGCAATTACACTCAAGCTTTCCAGCTTCACTGAAATCCATTAAGGAGGGAGTTTCTAAGTATAAATATAAAGTATGTTGGTTAATCAGGAATTTCCATGGTCATTTTCATTAAACATCCTTACTTTTTTTCTTTTTCAAAAGGACTGAGTAATTTAGAACGAATCATGACATATAGTAGTATACAAAAATTGGCACCTTAGAAGCACATGATTAAACCAAAGCTATTTACTTCCTTGAGCACTCTATGACTTTATTTACATTCCTCAATAACTTGCTGCTCACGGGCTGCTTAATTCACAGAGACAGGTAATTAACGTCCCCTCGATCAGGGACATGGTGAAATAAATGAGCTGGACACAAGCTGACTGTACAAGGCCACAGAATCAATGCCACATCGGTGTGCAGAACACCCAGAAATGGAAAGAAATGGATGGAAACATAATACACATGTAAGCGCACAGGAAAGAAATGGCTCATGAAAGTTACACAGGTTGTGTTTAAAGTCACTTAAATTTGGCTTATATATTTCACACACTTCACAAAAGATGTAAGAACTTCATTTTCATGCACAACAAGAGGACCAGGTAGTCACAAGGTCAGGGCTGTTAAATACTTTGTTTCCCAGGTTCTGCTCGGTTCTCGCCAGAAATCACGATGAATGGAAACACTCATGCTCATAATTTCTTTCCCCTACTTTCAATCTGGTCCAGAATGAGGCCCTGGAGGTGCTGTGATATCCTGCTCTGTGGTCAAAGAATAATGATTTCACCTCCTTCTTAGATTCCTCTACAGATTTAGAGAGGCTTCTGGCTTTGTAAATGTGCTCCATACGTAAAACTATCAAAGTGTTAGGATGTAAGTACATCAAATTAGCAAAAGCTAATCTAAGGAACAAAAATAACAAAATCTTGGTTCAAACTCTGGTGCTGAGACTTGGCCTTCCCGAGAGTCACCGAGGAATGGTCTTGAAATGTCAAGTGCCTATTACAACTGCGTTGATTATGAACAAACATGGTTCCTCCTCCTCATTATCAATCAATATGGAAACAGGGGTGCATGAACCCTTTAAGGTATATTGCAACTTTGCATGTATGTACATTGTTTTCTGGGAAGCGGGCCCAGAGCTTTCATTAGATCCTCACAGAGATTCGTGACTCAAGGAAGTTTAAGGGCAACTGATCTATTCTCAAATGTGTGTTCGCTGAGGGGGAAATAGCCAATATGGAGCTCAATAAAAATTTAAGTGCTTCTAGAGCAATTATATATGAGGGACTCTGGAGACTTATTTCTTATTCACTTAAATCCAAGGAGTGAAGAAGGAATTCTTTAATTCTTTATATGTGGCCACATCATTATCTCTACAACTGAAAAGCTTGTTCAGAAGGTTTTGGGTTTTGTTTAAATATTTGAAGGCTAGAGATTTTGTCCATGTACTTACTTGATTTCCCATAATGAGACAATTTGGAGTTCATAACTACAGAGAAACAAAAGAGCCAGGTAGTATTTGGGGTCAGAGACATTAAGTCTTTTTCCTTAAAGATCTTTGTTCGCTTTGAAATCAGTGATCCAAATAGGAATCCAAAGATTTCTTTATCCCACTTTAAATCCAGATTCGGATCTAGAAACGTATGCCTATATTCTCGAGTCCATAATACTATCTGGCTTAGACTGGCATGTCTATTCTGATTGTACTTGGCATAATCGCTTTGTGTAGGAGAAACCAGACTAAATGAGACGTCATGACAGTAAGTGCTTCCGCACAGAAAGGGGCAGAGGGAAGGTAGTGAGTCATGTTCTAGTTTGGTACAAGGAAAAGCTGAGGTCATAGGGATTTAAAAAATTCATAATTTCAACATCTGTCAAAATTTAACATAATGAACGCTTTCAATGGAACTCCTTGGATATTAAAAAATCCTGGTTATATCTCAAGGTGATAGAAAAGTCCAAGCCTTTTAAGAAAGCTCTATATGTCTGTTTATATACTATATATTAACATGTCTCCCTGGGTAAATGTATATATATGTATATAAGCAGCATATACTACAGAACTCTTTACATGTTTATTTGTTTTCTATTTTAGTCTACTGTATCTTTTTTATAGCTCTGTGTATAAGAAAAATATTCATGGTATGCCTGCAACTGATGGCTTGGGTTGATACCAAACTCCCAGTCAATTCTAAGGTTATTTATGGTTTTGAAACTTCCTTAAAAAGTGCTTTGGAACATCCCATAAAAAAGATACCAGCCCTTGAAAAACTCCAATTAAATTTACGCTGAGCTCAGATTAAATGGCAAAACTCTAGGTATGAAAATACCTACATGTAACCAGATATTCATATACAAAATGCTCGTGTGATGAGTGGTGTGGAAAATTGGCAGTTACATCCTGGAGACGTTCAGAAGACATGGTAGACTCATACAAATGACGAAGGTCACACAGCAGCATCACACATGACATGGATGGTGAGAAGATAACAGTATCCCATATGGCAGTTTTAGGTGAGTTCTGCCTACTATTTTTTTAAGTTCACTATTACATATTCAGTGAGTGGCTTCACTGATGACAGGTGAGATACAAAATAAATTAAAAAATATAAAATTATTTAATTACATTCATCCTGAGCTTGCTTGACTATACTTGAATGCCCACTGTTTATAATAAACCACCTGACATCTGTTTTTAACACCAATTCTTCTTTCATTTTGATTGCAATACAAAAAGGCATTTCTTTTCCCTTTATTTTCTCCAAAAAAGATAAAAGTTGTGGCACCGGAAACGAATATATAAGAGACAGGTGAACTATGACTGTTACCTTGTGTTTTCTTTATAATGATCAATTACAGAAGTGTTGGCATGAGAAGAATGTGGGACGTTAGGTAGAACTGCTTGCTGCCGGCTTATACTGAATAAAAAGGATGCTCTTCATCAGTCACCAGTGATGGAGCCAATGTGAAAAGAAAACAGAATTGAAAGTTTAGAATATCTCATTTGTATGCTGGCTATTCTATTTTATTTTTGCAATTTAGCCCTGCATCCTAAAACTCGTGATAACGGTCAGAAGTGGAAAGATGACTCCTGGCACGGACAGTGCTTGAAGCCCCATTCATTCCCAGAACTCATGGCTTTCTGAAGTGACTAGTGATACACATTCATCTCAACCCTTCTCCCTCTTTCCCCTCCCTATCCATCAAGTGTGAACATGACTTAAATCCCACGTTTGGCACTGGGCCAGAACAGACGCTTTCTTGATCTCTGGCCCAGAAGTCACCTTTGAATTAACACCTCCCAAGGCAATATTTGTTTTGCTCAGCTAAGAATAAAGCAGGTAAGTTTCAAGGAAGGGGAACAGGTGAATTTTGGGGAGAATTTTAGGGCTGGATTCTTGAGCCTCCTGCAAAGCTTACTGGAAGGTTTAGTTGTGTTTGCTTTCAAAGCTGTGGAAAGCGGATGTTCTGGAGAGTCTCCTCATGGACAGACTGTCCCCTCGGCCGTCTGGCTTGGAGGACTTACTCCTCTGGAAGGGATTTCTCAGGCTTGCTGCGTTCCGCTGCCTGTCGAGCTTGTCACTGATGGAGAAGCTCTTCCTGGTGTGTGCATATGGCACACTTGGCTCCTCTGCTGAGTAGCTGCTGGCACGCTCTAGCTTGGGAACTGTGATATTGTTGGACAGGGTTCTGTCTGAATTATCACCCTCCTGGGGGTGTATTGCAGTGGTGGCTCTCCGGCCCTTGGCCTCATTCTCCTCACTGTCAGAGCTGGGGTGACTCAGTTCTGCTTCTCGTTCGGGATGGCAGCATGATGAGTCCTCCACTTTTCCTCTGAGATCTCCTGGGAAGGTGGCTCTGTCAGCAATCACTTGAGGGGCATTGACGCACCTTGTGTCAATACAGTCTGTAATACTTGTGTATTCTGCTGTTTTCACAGGCACCCCAATGTTGGCATAATAGCTCCTCAAAGGAGAAAACATAAAGCTGTGAGATTTCACGATGGGGGTCTCCTCTAGAAGGAAGGGGGTGGTGGCTAGGTAGCGGCTACTTTTGGAACGCTCGATGGTGTGGTACATTGGAGGGTCAGTGTCCCACAGGTTTTGGCATTCCAGGTGGTGGGTATAGTCTGAAGAAAAAGATTTAGTGTCCATGGAGGTGATGTCCTCGAAATCAGTGTTCCGGCTTGGAGGTCCGTCTGTGGGTGCAAGAGTTGCATAGGCACTACTTGAAGGAGCTGTGGAAGGTACTGGAGCCGAAAAGCTTGGCTCTCCTAGCCCAAGGATGTTCATGGAATTGTCCAGAGGGTCTATATCACAGTGGAGCTCATCCATGGCAGAGACATAGATGTCTATACATGAAGACGGTCTCCTGGAATCAGGAACAATGGCCAAGGTGTTTGCAGGGGCTGTAGGAGCTTTGGATTCTTTTGCTACAGAGTGGGAACTAGTAGCCCGGTGTAGGCTCAGGGACCTTTCTTTAAAAAGACTCTCCAAGTTTTCTATCCCACCTTTGTCTTTCATACTGACTGAATAGAAAGAATGGCTTCGCATACGGGGCATTAGGGTTGGAGAAGTTGGGGACAAGGTCTCCTCACCTGCAGGATCTATACTCTCTTGGAGCTTGAAGGTGTTCCCCTCCTGGCTGTTGAAGCTGCTCTGGCGGACAATGTAGGCTGCGTCTGTGCAGTCTGAGGAGGTCCGCGAGCGGATTTTGTTGGACTCGGCCCGCTCCAGACCCGTCAGGCGCTCCAGGGCTGTAGCCATGCGCCCGATGAGGTCCTCGAGCTGCGCCAGTCGGATGTCCACAGTCTGGAGCGAGGCCCTCATGCAGTGTTCCCTCTCGTTGACTTCCTCCAGCCGCATGGACATGTTCTCCACCCTGGGAGGGAAAAGAGAGCCAGAGTCACTTGGGGCTGGTTTCTCTGCGGGAGGCTGGTGAGCACAGAGGGGATCCGAGTTGCGCCCGGACTCGGTGCCCTCGCTGTCCCACTGGAGGGAAACTGAGGGGGGTGGGGACGAGAGGATGGCAGTGACCCTGTCACTGAGAATCACAGAATCTCCGCCTTCTGGAGCTGGAAGAGGCTTTAGAGATTACTGAATCCAGCGGTTTTTAGCTACTAATCCCCTTTTCCCTCAGTGAAAATTAATGCTCAATCCCAATAAATAAACACCAAAGTTGAGTAGTTCTTCTTGAAGTAAAGTGGGCCAAAGTCCCACCTTTTCCCACCCTCCTGGCTTCGCTGTGGCTTGGGGCAGGGTTCAATGACCTAAACAAGTATTAGGGTGTTGGCTTATCAGTCACCAACAAAATGAGAATGTTACGTTTGGATAACTTTACCCAGAATTTTGCAGTAGAATTGCAGAATGCAGCTATTCTTACTGCAGTGTACATTTAAATTTGTATTCTATGGACTGGGATTATGTTTATTTTGCGTTTATATAATAATCTTTTGTTGTTGTTGTTATTCAAAACAATCCTTTTAGAATGTAGTGCCTCCAAAGGAACTGATATAGTACTGTCTCTGGGTCACCTGGAGCTGATCTAATTTAACTGAATCCTTTCATTAATAAAGGAAAATCAAACATCAAGAAATTCAGCCAAGATTACATAGAGTAATTTATGGTAAATTACTCTGGAGTGGCTATCAATAAATAAATAGTCCTACTCCTCTGTCTCTGTCTCTCTGGGTAGCTGATCACAGATGCTTTATATTACAGTTATTTCTCCAGGTCTTGACCCTCCCTACTGGAAATTCTTAGGTGTGTGACCTGTCTCATATTCCTGTTCCCATTTCCGGGTTGCCAGCCCAATACGTGCCAGGTGTCAGTAAAGGTTCATTGAGTCAATCACTGTGATGAACTTGATTTCAACTGTCCAATAGGTTGCCTGGCCATTTATTTATAAACACAGAGACCACACATTTAAAATAAAATTGTGCCATATTTTCACCTGCTCAAATTAACTTGGAAAGGACAAACCAAAGCCAAGTTTTGGTTTGAGCTCAAACTTTCACTTTTAGATGCCCAAAGGCAAATCTTCTGGAGAATCTAAATAAGATCCATTCACAACTTTTTTGGGGAGCATAAAGATACTTTTCCAATACTTCCAATATGCACAGCTAATCACTGACTGCTGACCCTTAAAAGGAACATGGCTGCATGCTTTATGAAGAGCAGTGGGCATCAGAGCTGGGTCCCTCCAGCTGGTGTAGTGGTGGTGGTGATGGCGATGGTGGGTTGACAGTAGCAGTGCCTCTATCAGAGAAGACTGTACATTTCAGTGCCAGAATGAAATGTGAGGCATGTGGTCCCCCTCACTGAGGGACCTGAGGCCTTTTAAAAGCTGCCTCCTCCTCCGCTGCTGCGGCCTTGGGGCCCATTTCTGCCTCTCTTAGCAACAACCTCCCAACTCACTCTACCTACTCTGCTCTTTTACCTCTCAGCTTCCCTTCACTGGTCCAAGGTTCTGGACTGCTCTTGAGAGCCCTGCTTTGGGAACATTTTTTTCTTTTGCTCCTTCCTGCTGCTCCATAGCCAATCCAGAGCCTCCCAGGGTCCAGGCACACTCTGCCATCATGTCCAGGTGTATTTCCAGAAGACTTATAAATCAAGCAATTCTGTGTCTGGCAAACACAATGCTATTCATCCAGCTAACAAAGATGACTCAGAAGGAAAATTCAACTTTCCTCTGCTTCACTTTGTTTTGTGGTATAAACATAGCCTGAGAAACAAATTACTTATAATAACAAGTCTGTGTGTCTTAGAGACTTACAATTCACTTCCTCACCATCTAGCCTATGGAGTTTTCAAGTATTACAATTTCATTCTTTTTTTTGTAATTCAATAAGCTTTGCATAAGTGGACAAAAATGCTTCTTCATTAAAGCCAGGAGAAGGACAGATGGTACATTTCTATATAACGAGGAGTTTTGTTTGGGATACTCTAGGTACTGGGTCCACCTAGCTTTTTAGTGTTGGCAGAGTAACAAAACCCAGGATAGTTTTCTTCCTCCCTCTCCTGCCCTTTCCTGGAGTCTGGTGTATACAAGGTCGGTATGGAAAGAGATAAAGATGCTCTCTGAGCATAACTGCGTGCTATCATTAGTTTGAGCATGATGAGTATCTCCCTGCACTGTGGGGACCCTCCCCTCCCTGCATCCCACCTCACTTTAGCCCCAGGATCCAATACTGCAGAGGAAACTAGCAGGTGAGAGGCCAAGCTAAGGCACCAAGAGGCAATTGAAGACTAAGGACTTGGTTGTGGGGAATAAATGGAACCCAGAAACTAAGGAGCCCAAGGGGATGGGAGGAAGAGAGGGGAGGTACAAGGAGGAAGAGGGTCGTCCGGGAAAGCAAGGAGGTGCCCAGTGGAGCCTCAAGAGCAAAGATAAAGAAGCATGGCTCCAGGGGATGGAAGTAGGGGAGGAAAGCCTGCTAGAACAGGGCCAAGGAGCTATTATTCACCAAATCTTAATTCTCCTGTGGGCTCTGAGGTGCTTTGGAATGTAAGATTTGAATTTAAAAAAGGAAAAAAAAAGGACTGTTTGATCCATTTCCTTTCAGAATTCTAGATGTGTTTAACCACCTAATTATATCATCAATTAGAGCACGGATATAACGGATAGGGGTTTAATGTAGGAGTTATAAAAGAATAAATGTTCCTAGAGTCAAGTTTACATATGCTTGTTCCATAAATAGAGTACTCCTCTTAATCTTTAAAAAAGAATTCTTGAAAAGTTATTTGCAAATGGGCATGCATCACAGATAAAAATAGGCCTGAGGAACAAACCAAGAGTTTTGAGTCATGATTGCAGTTTCTAGAAGCTGACTCTGGTCAAATAAATCAGGAGATAAAATGGAGATAAGAATTATAAGAACTTAAGGATCAATAAGAATTCTTAAGGAGATAGATATAGGAAGTGACTGAGTAAGAAAAGAAAAAGGAACTGTGGAAAGAAGATGTTGTATGAAGGAACACTTTATTTTTCTTTCCTTCTTTCAAATCTCCAGACCTTGCAGGGCTTATTTCAGAATAACTCACAAGGCAATCACAATAGGGACCCAGCAGAACCCTGGAAAGATGTGAGGTGGCTCCTGTTCCCGGGAGGCCAAGAAAGTGACAGCCAGGAGCCCATTAGGGAGGACACAATAGGCTGGTGAAACAAACAAAAACCAGGTAGTAAAACAACCAGCCGCTAACAGCCAATGTGATAAGGAAAAGGGCATTCAAAAGAAGATTCCGGTGGCACAGAAAATTTCAACTTCAATATGTAATTTCTTAAGGATTATTGTATTACCTTCCAGAAATTCATCTTCTTTGCTGATAACCTCAAAATGTAGTTAAAGGAAATATGGTAAAAGGAAAAAGAGAACTGGCAGACCATGCCTGCTCTAAATTTCAAATACTCCCTGGAGTGCCAGCAGTAGAATGGGTGTAGGATGAAGAGCAAAAACAATCCCAGAAGGCATGATCCCAGTTGTGGGGACTCTTGCGGGGGGAGGGGGGAAGGGTATACTGACACAGGTTTTCAGATCAAAGGCAACGATGCAGAGCAGCCAAAGCGAACTCTTGCTTATCCACAGACTGATACCTAATTTGTGAATTATTTAAGCCCTTTAGGGTCACCTACCCTTCCCTTTGGGCCAGTTATCCTTCTCACTAACTCTGGGACCAAAAAAAGGGAGAAAAGTTTAAACTTGGTTCTATCAATGGAGATATCAAAGATCAGTTTCAGAAAAAGTCGTGGTGGCAAGTGGGTGAAGTTCATTTTTTTTGGCTTACATTATTTTTGGATTATTTATAAATTTCATATATCCTAAGTTATCCTTCTCTCTTTGTTATGAAGAATTATAAGTTGTATATGCTATTAATAGTCATTGTCTAATACGTTTTAAATCCAGGTGAAGTGAAAAAAGGGCATAGAGCCCATTGGTTTGGGAAAGATAATGTTAGATTAAAAGATGACAGCAAGGAATAATGTATATCCCAGTTGCTCCAATTGTTACTGTCAAGGAGAAAATTCAAACTGAAACTTCTGACAGGTGCGGCCCTGCGGGTGGGGTGATGGTGACAATAAACTGGAAGCTCTAAGTTAGGGGTCTGAGAATCAAATGCCTATAGAAGGGTAGATCAAGTGAGTAGGTGAAGCAGGCAAGGCGTAAGAGAACAGAGGCAAGGAGTCTGTGCCAGCAGAGAGCACACCGAGTCCAAAGGCATTCGGAGTGAATTTTAACAATCATTGCAAGCTCAACACAACAGCCCTCTATGGGCAGATGCTGCCCATGAGCAACCAGTTTGCAAATTCTGCTTTAAATGAGTTAAAGGAACCAGAAAAGAACTTCCATCTCTGATCAACAGAAAATGTACGTGACCCTTAAAAACCAAAGGGAAGTAAAAAGAAATGCCAGGGACTTCCCTGGTGGTGCAGTGGTTAAGAATCCACCTGCCAATTCAGGGGACATGGGTTCGAGCCCTGGTCCGGGAAGATCCCACACGCCGTGGAGCAACTAAGCCCGTGGGCCACAACTACTGAGCCTGTGCTCTAGAGCCCGCAAGCCACAACTACCGAGACCGCATGCCACAACTACTAAAGCCTGTGCGCCTAGAGCCCATGCTCCATAACAAGAGAAGCCACTGCAATGAGAAACCTGCGAACTGCAACGAAGAGTAGCCCCGTGCTCACAGCAACTAGAGAAAGCCCGCGTGCAGCAACGAAGACCCAACGTAGTCAAAATAAATAAATTAATTTAAAAAAAAAAGAAAAGAAATTCCAGGAGACTGCAGATAGGAAATGTTTTCTCCTGACATTCAACACTCCTGGATTCTAGGAATTATAGGAATTTGACATCAATTCTAGGCAGCATTACTGAATGCCTTAGT